GGCTGGGTGTCTCCACGACTTTCAGCCAAACCTCTTGGTGGCTGGAGGTATCATTACTCTAAACCACTTTTGCCAGAAACGCGACAGATATGAACGGAGTGAGTATCGGCAGGGAATATGAATAAGCCAGCTGAGTATCAATGAACCTGAGAGACCACATTCTCCTGACAGTCTGAAAACAAGGTTTTCACACACCCCCGGCAGAAGCTGCTGACAGGTTGATTGCTGAGCTATTCAAGAGGCTCAAATATCCAACGTGGTTTCAGAGCAAATGTGAAAATAACTTAATAGGCCTCGTAGTGAAGGCATGTAATGGACATTTAGTGTCAAACAAATGCAAGGAATCTCTTGAACAGCAGCCTTGGTTACTAACGCCCCTCAATTTGAAAACCTGGATTATATACGTAGATAGTTGCTTCAGTGAGGGTTAGACACGGAAATTTGTGTTATGACCTTGGAGGAAGAAATGCTGAAATACACAGGGACTGTCTGGTTAATCTCAAGTGTAATTTGTACAGACAAGTTGATGCAATGGCTGTGGGATTTGCATCACGTCCGAAATTAGTAGCCATTTCTGGCAAAACGGAAAATTATCCCTCGAAAGATCGGATCACTAACATGGAGTTGTGCAGTCAGCTTAGCAATGTTATGCGGTCAGTCTTTGGCAAGATTCTGTTCAGCAGCACCATTCTCAATTACCTCGAAGCCATACATTCACAATGCCTTTTTACTGATAACGATGGTATATTTCGAATGATGAATTACACGAACATATGCCATTTTTACAGGCAATATTCAAATTGGATTGAGACCACCTACAGTAAAGAAACCTGTAATTTACGTAAAAGATTTTCATACATTTAAAACGGCTTGCCTGTACGTTCAAGGTTAAATATTTTTATCGTTAGTTCTGGGAGGGGATCAGGTCCTTTGTACAGGCACGAGCATTACTACGGTATGCCCAAATGAGGTAAAATACATTTTCATGTTTATAGTTTCCGGTAAACGAAACATACTTTGATGAGGTGACAGAATGTTTGTCATTTCCAGCAAAAACACTGTTCGATAGATCTGGACAACTAGCTACAAGTAACAGACAAATTCACAGCAAAGAAACCTCTCCTACTTAGTGAAAATTATGTGTGGGAATTTATGCAAAACCCCTATTTATTCAACATCGAGGAACTCACTGAGACATGGTATTCGAGATATTTTGCTCCATCGATCGATAAAATACGGTCGAAAGTGCACTTTGTGAGGCTGATTGTTATGTCTAGGAGGGAATTATAGCATCAGAAAAAGAAAACATAGTGATGTCTGCGAAGAAGAGGACTGAAACAGCTACAGTTACAAAATATTACAAAAACACATACTGATCAAATACGCTTTTAATCAACAGTTTCTGAAAGCCCGTGGGGATAAACGGAGGCGGTACTGGTACTGGGCCATCTTTACTCTCTTTTAACTTGTGTAAGGGATGTGAAAAGAATTTGTTGCCAAGACAGGCATGCTACGCAAAGAGAAGTCGTTTCAGGTTTCTGAAACACGAGGTTTGAAATGCCTCTAAAGTAAAATTTTTGATAGCATGGAAAGACCGGGCTATCTCCGTTTGAAAGAAATAGGCCATTCATAAAATGGTCAGTTAACTTTTATTAAGTCTTTGATACGGCTAGCAGTGATGTCCTTTTTAAGAAACTTCTGCCTATCAGGGTTCACCGGAAGCTACCGATTTAGTCTAGGAATAACCTTAACAGTCAGTTGCAGTCAGCCGAATTTGGCTCTTTATTTAATTAGTTCCTGATGCCGGGTGAGGCACTGGTGAGTGATTTTAGGTGCAGGAAAGTTGATATTCTTCAGGCTCCACAGACAAAGCACGTACAGCAGACATCATGGGAAGGAGAGTTAAGTTAGGAGAAACATCAGCATAGAAAACAAACTCCTTGTTGGAGTTCTTGCTTCCCTTCTCCCACTGCTGCTTTGTTTCTTTTCTCATTGTAAAAAACGCCTGTTCTAGTTGCTGGTTTGGTTACAACCCAGAGTAAACTGCTCATGGGACAAGCCTTCGACACTCTAATGAACTAGGTGTTGCTGTTTAAAATAGCTAACTACAACAAACCAAAACAAAGAATGTTCATCGAACTACAGCTTTATAATTGCCGAAACCTAAGATTTGTCGATTATGTATGTAGCGATGAAAGCCTAATACTTGCATATTACAAGGTTGTAGTGACTCTTGAGGACGGTGGGCGAGATGTAACGAAGAAAACCCAATTATTTTGGTCTGAACGCAAGAAACAACTCAACGTGACCAAACAAGCGTGATCCATACAAGTTCCACTTCATAGTTCATGAGGCACGCATAGTCAAAGATTGGTTTAACGGCATCAAAACACGATTTCTAATAAGTCCGTGGTAGTGTCGAACAACAAGTTATGTCAAAATTACAAAAATTCCTCAACAGTGCCACTGGGCGACTACTCAGTCCATACTTTCCCCGGCACGAACACGTGCAATACAGCAAAAAATTAGCCGACCAAATATAGTTGTTAGGTACCTGAGAATCAATAAGAATACTCCCACCAAAATGGAAACAGGGGTGTGCCTACAGGAATCAAATAAATCAACAAGCGTTCCCAGTGGAGAGTCAAGGCCGGCAGTCAAATCACGGCGCTACATTTGGTTGAGCCAAAACAAAAATGTCGAGGACAGTAAAACAGCGCCATGAAGTTAACAGCAAAGCACCCCACAAAAGCAAAGTGAAGCACCGAGGACAATTCTCAGTCAAAGGAAAGACAAATGTTGGGCTTTAAATCAAGGAAGACAAGCAAATGACAAAATGTTACATCGGTTACGGATGGAAAGCATGATATCCATAAAGAGGGTAAAATTATTCAAATAGTTATCAATGCCGTCAAATAGAGTGCTTATGGGGGACTTTCAAATAATTTTTTCCGTTACACAGCTCAGCTGATGGGTTCAAACAAAAGTAACATTTTTGGAAGCTGCAGTTAAAAAATGCAGATGTCTGGGTCATAGTAGCTATAGCCAGCAGGATTTTGAATCCTTGATGTCAGCCCATGAGGGAATACATGAAGTCCATAGTTCAGCGATCCCCGAAAAATAGATATAGACGAACAGTACGAATATACTGAGCAATGAACTTTTCCTAGCTATTCTTAAGCAGATCGTGCGTGGCTTGACAGTGGGTGTATTATCTTCAGGCTTTCTTTTTTTCTAGGCAGTACATGTATTGTTCGGGAACATATCCTGGAGTTTGGTAATGCAAAGATGATGCTTCCACTTGTCTATCTTGTCAGTTTGAGCAAACTTATTCTCCCGGGATACTTCATTTTATCAACACGCAGCCCTTATGTCCGCTGGTGACAGATTGAATGGGGATTGAGATTAGCTGCCACAAGGAAGCATGTAATTTACGCTGAAATACATTCATAGCTGTCAAAGAGGGTGGGTGCCTGTATATTCAAATATTGTTACTGTTAAGATCTTGGCTGAGATGCAGAGAATGACGAATCTCCTGGTTCTACAGAAGGACTTTTCCAAAGTTGTGAATCCAACAAGTAGAATCCTACTCTCTCACTCGGAGGCTTGTAGTGTGATATTTGTTTTGGACTGTGGTCAAAATTTATAGTCTACAGTCCATAGAGGAAATAAACATCCGTCAACTAAACACTGGAAATGGTCCGTAACTTACTGTATGTGATAAACGTGAAGTTTCCATCCCCTTGCAGACAACCGGGAGGGTTGAGTCCAAGGGTTTCTCCCTCGAACTCCAAAAGGGGTCTCCCTGCAGCACATATCGATTCAGTGAATGCTGCACCTATTTCTCCACATAAAGAGAAAAACTCCCGGTTAACATCCGTTAGCAAGGGCTCATTGTTCACCCAGCTGACTATCTGATGTGCGGCTCAGGCCAAATTTATTTAGATCTCCTGTGTTTCAGATACCGCACTTGCTTGGCGACAGTCGTTGACTAGACATGCAGACTTATTCAGCATCCAATTATTTCCGTGACCACTTCATTTTTCTCTGAACTCTTCTCTGGACACTTCTCTACTGTTGGTTGTAACCCGTTCCACTAAGTTATCCTTTCTTTTACGACTAACTTTCCATATAGATTCCTGCGGTCTCACCACCATTTACAATTGTTTGTGGTCTGTATATTCCTCTTCATGCAGTGAACAGGTTGCTGGACGCTCCTATACCTAAAGGACATTGCCCTTCTGAAATGGGTCCAGAGAAGTGCGCCATAAGAATTTATTCCTTTGCGGTAAAAACCTTAAATAAACATCATGGTTGCTCTTAAGCTACATCAAATAAAGTCCAGGGGGATCGGAAAGAATTAATTTTGTTGCATCATGTTATCCACGAACTCCACCAACTTACCAAATGGCTCTCGAATTTTCGACAGGATCCCACTTCAGAGGTCATCCTCTAGAATAGAGGTTGTACGATGAAAAGTGCATCAAGGTTATGTGAAATGTATAGCTCCCGTCTTGAAGATGTCGTGATAGTCCCTTCTTGTCATGCGTTCAACAAGAGGTTTGCTGGACACCTAGAGTCCTGTGACAGGCTTAGCTCAACAGGCCACCTTTCATCTGACAAACCATGGGTGGCAGTACCACCGGTGGCGAGCCAATTAATCAATTCAATATCTCTCTGCTTTTTGTTTGAACTAGAAGGACAACTGACAATTATGAGTAAAGAACGTAACCAAGTGGGACAATCATAGAACCAACGGAACCATTTTTCATCGTTTCTACGAGATGTTTGTTTTTTTAGCGCTACTACTGAAACTATTTCCAATAATTTACTTGTTCATGGCTTTTTATCAGACATTCCATACTTGAAACCACTATAATTAGACATTTTGTTCAATCTGTACAAGTTGATTCGAAAGAAGCAGGAGCAGGAGAATGAGTGATTCCATTCGTCGGATGTAGAGCACAGTTTTGTTTATATTTGCCTTTCTTTGTTGGTACCGATAATGAACTGCTTTGACGAATGGCGGACATTCAACTTTAAAAAGTAAAGGATGGCTTTGTACGTCAGAGACTATGAGGAGGATAAAAAGACATGTAGCCAGTTTCTTCGGTTTTACAGCAGAATTGATAGTTGTGGCAATAAGCACTTCGTGTACAGTGAACAACTGGTATGTTAATGCATTTGAAGACATTTTCTGCAAGAGTCGAATAGCAAATCGAGAACAGTCGGTTCTTTACGTATCTCTGGATGATTTGGCCGAGCAGTCTATTGACCTCGTAGAAATAATAGAGTGCAATGCTGTCCGGTACCAAAAGCTTTTCGCTGAGGTTATTGATGAGTTGCTTCCTGATTTTCGTACTGTTGCCGTATGTTACTTGAACTGCTATCCAATACCTGTTTTCAGCTCGTTCCACAGGATGTTTTAGATATATTTATTGACCATAGAATCCGAATGGAACAACGTATAAGGACTGTGGACTCAGAAACAACTTCTCGTGAGCCCGAATCTACAAACATGTCAGATGTTCGATCGCGGTTCCCTCCTGAACTGTTGCGACGTTTGTAAGTTCAGTCATGTTTGTGATGAGGTTTTAGTGAGGTGTATTTTTGTGGTAGGTCGGAAACGAAGCCCTTGAGTGTCCGCAACGTTTTGGCTTCAAGTATAGGTCATCTCATACAAGTACGTGGAGTAGTGACACGTGCAACTGAAGTTAAACCTCTCATCACAACAGCTACGTACACCTGCGACCACTGCGGCGCCGAATCGTATCAGGTAAGTCAATCGTTTGTCAGAATTATCTGTCTTGAATGTGAATTTATGTGTTGCAGTTCTTTTTTTGGCCAAGTAGGTTGTTTTGGTGGGCGCATGAACCTTCTTTGCGTCGGGATTTTCCGGGTGCATTTTGGAGAGTTCAGAAGTTATGTCCGTTATACTGGTTACGTTATGTCAGATTGATAGGTTTTATTGGTTTCTTAAAGTGGTTTGATCACTACGACCTGTCATGAGCTGACTTATATCACGATTCCTGTTTATGTGTCAGCGGACAGCTGAAACCCAAGTTTACAGGATCCCCAAGGTAGTAAGCTCCGATTTAAACTATTTTCTAGTGTTTTAACGGTTATGAAAAATGTTAACCGTCTCTTGCGTCATGCAGCATATCCATGAAAAAGTGTTCACTCAAACATGTTCGCACAAGTTTAAGGGTCCGGCCTGACCATGATATTCGAGGAATAAAAGGCTGGAGTGGAATTTGTCGGATGTACGTCAACGCAGAAGTTCAGCTAGTTTTAGAGGTTGCATGTTTGTTCGCCTTGTTTAAGTAAAAATTCTCATACTCAGACTAGACTTCGCTTTATTTGGATCAAGTCCGAAATCTCTGGCGCATTATCGCTGCTAATCTGCTAAGTCTTTCTTCACAAAAGTGGTATAAACAGTGTCCTACTTTACTCAAGAGTTGCTAGTTATACAAAACCTAAGATTTCAAGAAGCAATGTTAGCTTACTTTGAGTTTCGTAACCAGCGGTGACATTTGCTTCTAAAAGGCTGGTGATAATTGCATCTTTGCTCTCTGCAATCATCCCTGTACTTTTATCCAATGTCGCTTACGGGCGCCATCGGCATCTAGTCAGTCTAAAAAACGTTTGGGGAAATAACTGAGTTACGACTTCTGTTTTCCAACCAGCTGCAAAGGTTACGATAATGCTGGGAGTCAAGTTTGTTTAGAGAAGTTGATTTACCTAATCTTGGTATTTTTGGACACAAATTAGGTCTGTTAAACTTGAAACGCGGTGTTTTTATTTCGAAATTGCACTCAACATGATTGTACCAGGCCCATATTATTCATGCGGTTGTACGCCTCAAAACTACCTCATTTGTCTAGGGTGTTGGCTGTCAGTCGGTGGGTCATATGTCTGAGCCCTGCCTCACCTATAAGGGTCCTGAAAGTCGAGTGGTGCCCCCACTCGTCCAAGTTAGTGTGGCTCATTGTCTTGTGGACCTAGGCATATGTGGTAGCTAAATGAGCTTTACTTTTCCCTCACTAGACCGAGGGTCATGGGTGTCTTTAGGACTAACACTGACCACAAAACCTTGAGTGTTGATGTGTGATTGGAAACGCTGATGGGAATTTGAGTGTGCAATGCTGGCAGTAATTGATTTTACCACTATGTATTAAGTTACCGGAATGTGGCAAAAAGCCAGATTCATAGCCCACTAAACTGCATTCTCGATTTCGTAGTGGCAATGAAGTCATGATAGTATTCATTCGTCTTTTTTCGCGAACATCGTTTTGTTTCGCTCATATCTTTAAACGTAGGATATTGTTTCTGAGTCATTTAAGTTAAACTTATTCACATCATTAATAATTATCTTTACACGTGGAACCTTATCTTCTAATTCTAGGAAATAAATAACCCAACTTTCATGCCACTTACTGTTTGTGGGACTGCGGCATGTAAAAATGCAGGACCGGGTGGTGGTGGTCGATTGCATATGCAAACCCGAGGATCCAAGTTCCTCAAATTTCAAGAGATTCGTATACAGGAATTGTCTGATCAAGTAAGTTAATTCCAATACCTCCGTATGCTTAAGATTTTCCTCAAAAATTCAAGACAGCGTTTCCTGGTTCATTTATAAAAACATTTGGTATCTATCTCCCATCGATACTTCTCGGGTCGTGTAAACCTTGATATGTCAATATTGCAGAAACAACTGTAGGAACTGAGCCACATATTGAAAGCAGGGTTAACAGAGGGGTTAAGCATGCAGTACAAACGTGTTATTGCTCAATCAGGCTATACTTTTTAATTATAGTGGGCCAAGATGACCTTGCCGTGTAGTGTCACTAATTCCTAGGTAAGATTTAAAAGACTTTGTAGTGATTAGGTAGTGCCTGGTTGCATCGATCAGTCAACAATATGAGACCTAAAATTACTGCACATCGTCCCTACTAGCCATACCTTGTATACGCATATGAGAGTAGAGGGCTCCACAGACAAAATTGACCTGCATACTCTAACAAGCGATTCACACCAAGTCGCCACAACCCAGCAACATTCAGAGAACAAGTAAACAGAAAAAAGTAGTGTCGAAGTACGTAAAAGCGTAAGAGAGGAAAGAAGGCCTAGTGAAAGGATTCAGCTTTTCAGCAAATGAATGCATCTAGGGCATTGTGACTAATTTTCAGCTGTCTCGCGAAGTCTTTCACCGTCGATCTTCATTATTTGAAGGGACCCAATCAAGTAGTGTGCAGAAAGCAAACCGTTCAGACGCCACGATGGTAGGTGACTTCAACGCTGGATTGGGAAAGCTGAGTTGAGCTGAATTAATTGGATAAGCATCTCCGGAGTATTTATGAGATCCCATGCCAACGAAGTGACAACGGTGATCGTCTGTTGCAACTTTTTTTCGACAATCACTTGTTTCTGGCCAGCACTAACTTTAAGCATAAGGAGAGTCTCATATAGCGTCCGCTGACTTCAAGCCAACGATGGACAACAGATAGACAGATCATATTGCTACAAGGCATCATTAGGGGGATCGGTGGAGGATTGCCACTCTTTCTGGAGTACCAGTTTGGACTGCGATCTCGCGCTGGTACGGGGTCGTATATGTTTGCACCTTATTGGTCGCAGGGAACAGGAGGTAGTAAAAGATACTGATACTGAACAACCTCATTAGTTAGAAACCACTCAGGCTGGTCTGGAGTATTTCACCAGCCAAATCATAGTTATCTCAACACCGGACGGCCGTTTCGCTTGATTGAGGTCGAGCTCATAAGCGGTGTACCCGGGCGAATCCAGTTCATAGAGCCGAATTACTTCAGATCAACTAAATCTGCTTAGCTGACTTGTATGAGTCGGTATACCTAGAACAGAATGAACGACTTGCAAATCATTCGAAAATTGGACGGTTGACGTTGATGTTTCTCACGACCGAGTAATTTTCCAACTGCGATATCAACGAGGTTTCATTTGGAAACCACTGTCGCTAAAAGAAGCGTCATCAGCCGGTTCCTGAATTTAAATGTTTTTAGAATCTGTCTGAGCCCAAGCAACAGTTGTTTGCTCACATCAATGTGGAATATTTCTCGAACTGTTTGTTTGCTTTTTATCAGTTTAGAAGTATAGGTTCAAGTAATGACAATGCTTGCTTATTTCTGAGGTATCCAGTCAAATAAGCAATAATAAGTAGACCAGTAACACGTTTGCTCGCAGCTAATACTGACTTATTGTATTCGAATGGTGACTGTTCGCGAACCCCCAATCATTTGATATCTTAACCGCTCAGGCAACGTTTTCGAAATACATACATTAATTATGAAATGAACTCATACAAAAACGTGACCAAAATAGTTTGTTTGTCGGTTATTCAGTAATCAGTCAATAGCAGTATAAAAGTTACTATGAAACCTCTGAGTTCCTATTGAAAGGGTGTAAGACTGCGGTCTTATGTGTGTCGACAATCCGACAATGCAAGAGCTGTTATGTAGCGTTAAAGGATAATTGGTACTTTGGGCGTCCCAGTATGTGAGCACTTCATGTAAATAAAACAAACGAAATCGCAGCATAGTTACATTCACGTTCAGAAATTCGTAACATTTTTTACAGCATGGAAAATGTTTTGGTGTTCTTACTTGCTTTAATCATAGAGAAGTAATTAACCCCATGACTGCTACTTCGATTTTTATTTGAATGCGCCCATTTTGATGTCTGACACAAACCCACCTCAGTTACAAGGCCTGTTAAATCACATGGTTTTAGAGGTATGAATTTTCGGTATGCACTGTCTGACGAATGAGTCATCTTGTAACCAGACTTCCGGGAAAGTAAAAAACTAAAAAGGTTACGCCTGACATTTTAAGGTAATTTGACGAATGAGTTGTTTCCGCCATCAAAAAATTTCATTTTTATAAATTGAAGCAATATAACCTAAACTTATTGTTGATCACGACGTAGGTTCCTGTAGGTCATATCCCTCGGGGCTTGACGATCTATCTTCGAGGCGAAAATACTCGAGCTGCTCAACCTGGTGACCATATCCTCATTACGGGTGTCTTTTTACCAAGTCTACGTGGAGCAAGCTTTTCTGGCAGTGGAAAAACGAATCAGGCTTCTGTCTCTGTCAATACTGCTGCTGGAGGTTTGCTGACTGACACTTACTTAGAAGCTCATAGTGTTCAGTTGTTAAGTAAGACAGATGACGTAACTGACGCTAACGAACCCAGTGAAGAAGAAACGGAACGCTTACGTGGTAAGTTTCAAGAATCGCACCACTTTTGTCTTTTACCATAGCATTGCTTATAATTTTTTTCCATATCAAGCTGGTTTATGAGGCAGTTGTTTTCAAAATCCATTCTTAGTTCATTCGTGCATAAATACCCACAGCTTCCATTGTGAACAACTTTATTCGGCTGCTCATTAAGCTTTTTTGCGCATTTCTGTTTAGATCCAGAGTTTTACTCACTGATGGCACAATCACTTGCTCCCGAAATATATGGTCATGAAGACATCAAAAAAGCTTTGCTTTTACTACTGGTTGGAGGTGTAGAATTAGCGCCAAAAGAAGGACTTCGCATAAGGGGGAATTTGAATGTATGTTTGATGGGTGATCCAGGAGTAGCAAAGTCTCAACTACTGGGTTTCGTTGATCGTCTCAGTCCTAGATCACAATATACAACTGGTCGAGGTAGTTCTGGAGTAGGCTTAACAGCTTCGGTCATGAAGGACCCATTAACAGGTACGTTAAATCTTGTCCTTATGATACGTAACAGTCACCTTAAAATTCTCTCTTTTCGTTAGTCGATTGTAGTATTTTAAATCTTTCGTTTCTTTAGGTGAAATGACTTTGGAAGGTGGAGCTTTAGTACTAGCAGATCAAGGAGTTTGTTGTATTGACGAATTCGACAAAATGACTGAGTTTGATCGGTGAGTTAGCATCCATAATTCCTTATACAATATTCGTACTGTGTGACTATGCAAACGTTGTCATGTGGAGTAAGTTCGTAACTTGGTTGAAAATAAGTTTTCTTTAGTGAGGAATCTCGCTCCATATACGGTTTAGGTCAGTAAGAAACCAGTGTTAAAATGTATTTAGATTGGTCGAAAATCCTTCCCGTTCTTCTGAACCCGTTTAGCTAAGTAAAAGCTGTATCATTTCGTTTTCGGTCGTTGCCCTTATGGTCAACCTCATGTCAGCCGACCCACCTTCCGTTTTCAAACCACCACCCTGCTGACTAAAAGATTTCATCGATAATGAGTAGTTTTAAGATATTCCCATGGTCTAAAAGCGTGAAAAGTCCTCTTACATGATCGTGTGTGTGAGTGGGCTGATAACTCACGCGTTTCATAATACTTATCTGTATTGCTGGGATGCAGAGTAGTGAAAGTTGAATGACGAAGCTGATATAAGTTGGTACTTAAAGTGACAACAGCAAAATGAAATTATATATATAAAGCGTCACTGCCTGAATACTTGTTGGATTTGTCTATGGTTTACACAAACCAGTCACTGAACTTAAGAAAGGTTATTTTCAATTCTCAAACCATCAGTCCTTCCTCCCTATAACCACAATAAAACACAAAGGTTGAAGGGTTTTCACCCCCACATGTGTTGGGTTTTGCGCAGACACTACTCAAATATATGGACAAAGCGCTCTATAGTCGGTAAAATAAAACAAATTTATACAAGCGAAAAGTCTAAGGGAATCCTCTCATAGAAGTCTATCGGTCCACAGCGGCATACACAAACTGAGTAAACATACGGTGATATTAAAATATAGGTTCATCGCAGTAGAGGATGAAAAAATGGAAGTGAAGACATTGGACCTGTCGAAGATGTTGAAGAGTGAATGCACCAATGTCGTTGTAACCGATTTTCGGTACTGTCTACCAATCCCGACCGATGACTGTTCCCCTGATGTAATGGTCAAGCTTGTATATCACAATGACTCGAGGAGCCACACTTGCTGTAAAGCTTGTTCTCTTGGGGTGCTACCACACCAGAAAGGGCAATGGATGCTAGCAAGACGAAAAGCAGTTACTGTTACATTGCAGTGCTATGCTAGGGGAAGATAGGTTAGGTTGCAAGGTGGTTTCTGGGTGACTAGACCAAGACGTGGCAGCTGGCTTATGAAGTCCCTGTCTGTTGGTTTAAGCCTTTTGGGAAGATGTAGATCACCTGACTAGACAAAAGGAATCAGTGGTTAAGGAATGTTCTTGATATGGCTGAAAATCGATAACAGTGGCACAGACGTATTCACTCTGACGTTCTGATCTGGAATATTCTCACCTTTATCTTCAAATTGCTTATTGTCACACAACTCTGTCCACTTTGACATCAATCTTATCCTATCGACCTGTCTGTATACTGATGTGAAGTGTATTAAATTGAACCGGTGCACTTGTATGTCACGTTCTACGTTGATCCTGTCTGTCTGTAAATTGCTACGCTATGATGGGGGTCCGAGGGCGAGGTCGTACTACTGACTGAGTGGGGCGTTTCGCTTGTCTGTGTTTTGGCATTAAGCAGATGTCCTATGGGCTCTACAGTCACACAAGTCTTTTTCACGCATCTTTTAGAAACAAATCTATGATGTAAGCAGCTGTGAGATGTCAATCACTTGCACGCTTCTAGTAGTATACAACAGCCAAACAAATAACCTATGCTCCCTACCTCTTTCTCTTCCTTTGCCTTCACCTTCTGATACCAGTGTAAAGCCCCTACAACTTCCTCAACATCTCACTCTGCAATCATTTCTAACTATTAAAACCGTCGAAACCTCATTTCTAATCTCTCAGGACATCACTGTTTGTTCCAAATCGGAGTTCTCTACGTCCGGACTTTATGCCAAATCGGACAACAGGGATCGCATGCCAGAACTATCAGATCTCGGGTAATGAATATACGTTATTTTTGAGACATCCACACACACGAACCAAGTTTAGTTACTCGCTTGACCTCACCTGATCCAATCCGATGAATCTCCAATATTCAGTTTGCGAGCATCTGGAGATTTAACGGCTTTCTCTAGTGGACTCGCTGATATATGCATTGCACTACTTTTTACAGCGGAAAGCCCACTCCTCAACTGGATACCAGTAACAACTGTCCATGTGCAGTTCAATCGAATCGATCTGTAAGAACTAAGAAGGGTCGTGAGATTGGCTGGTATCTATTCGTAACCTCCGCCTACCCACCCATCGACTGCAGCTCGGATGATGCAAAGGATGAATTCTATTGACAACTGCCAACTTTGCTACAGAGAGCAAGCAACTCAGACGTAGTCATAATAGCAGGTGAGTTTAACACCCATGTAGATAAGCTGAGCAATTCGGAAAGGCATGAACACATCATGCTCCTATAAGCCATCATCACAGCAAGTCAGTAGAGAACTGTGACTCTTTCTAGAGTACCTGTAAGGACTCCAGCCATGCGTTATAGTGGCTACGCGTAAATCTACGCCTTGCTGGTTGTAGAAAAAATGTGACGGTCAAGAAAGCGTATGTTCGACTGAAAGATTAGGTGAATTACGTATACAGGAAAGAGATACACAAGCACCTATCCTGAGGAAACCTGGGCTGTTGTTAACTCTGCTGTAGAAACAGTGGTTGGCAACCCTCACCTGAAGGTTAGAAAACGTCATTGAATTTACGTGATTTCATCCGAACTGATTGATTCGAAAAGACTGATTGCAGCTGGCTCTGACAACAATGAAAGAGGAAAACAACCTAAACCTAAGTTGACCGACAATCTTCGCATAGATCACGAGCAGTTGTCGATGACGAAGGTGTGAGGGATGGAGAAGGCGTAAGCGTTAGGTAACACGGTGGCTATTCAAACTGCGTGAGGATCCCGGCAAGAAGAAGACGATGGTTAAAGAAGCCGTTACCTAAAAGAATGGGATGCTGATGACCATCTCCCAGGTCAGGTGGCCACAACGTTAGACAGAAAACTTTGAAGTACGGCTCAGCTGGTCCTCGGCGACGCTTAGGTTGCCCAACTCTCCTGAAAATATCGGACCTGATTTGATTCAAAGCAGGAAAACTTGACAGTTTGGCATCCGAAGTTTTCAAAAATGAAGGAAGTCTCAAACTAAGGTGACGGGTGCATTGGGTGGTGTGTGGGAACCACAAGTAGTGCCATCACACTGATCTGTCATATCCAAGAACCGTGGGTTTACAGATATCCGACACCTAACTGGAGCTCGTCAACGACAAACTCGGATAAAACCAGGCGAGTTTTAGACCTGGACTGGGGTGCATCATCGGATAGGTTCTGGAACAGGCATACTTGACAAGGGCTGTGACGCTTTATTTTTTAATCTGAAGGCGACATCTGGCTCTATCTACCTTGAGGTGTGGCAGTGTCTGACTGAAGGGAGCACCGAACAAACACGTAACACTAATGAGAGTACTCAACTCGAACTCGCGCAGCCGTGTGAGTGTGTGTGTAGTTATTATGTGAATTGACGACAACCAGTCGCGTCCAGCAGAGATGCCTGTTACTGGCTTTACATGGCTTTAATTTATGTTACCTGCACTTTTTGTGTGTCACCTTATGCTTACACAATCGTTCCATGCTGATATTGAGTCCCTGAGATACCATCCACAAACCAAGCTTGTCATCAAACTAATAATTGCCAGTAGTTTTCATCATATATTTCATTTTATCAGGAAAATCGGTGGCAAGCTCTCAGGTTGCCTATTTAATTTCGTTTTTACTCAGTTTCAAGTGAATGTTGGGATCATATTTGTAACTGATTTTTTGTCGTTATAACAAATTTTACAGCACTGCTATACATGAGGTCATGGAACAACAAACTATCAGCATAGCTAAAGCTGGTATACTCACAACTTTGAATGCAAGGGTTGCAATTCTGGCTGCGGCTAATCCAGCATATGGACGCTATAATCCCAGCAGAACCGTAGAACAGAATGTAGATCTACCTGCTGCTCTACTTTCACGTTTTGACCTGCTTTGGTTGATTCAAGATAAACCCGATCGGTGAGTGTGTTTTCGAGAGCTAAATTTGGAAAAATTTCCCTTATAAATGAAGTCACCTAAGATGATGTGACATTTGGAGATTGATTAAGTCTAGTGGATTTCTTATGCATGTCACCTATACTCGCAACTTAATATACAGTATTAACAGTCATTGTTATTAAAAGAGACCAGTTGTCATCTAAATATTTCTATCTAGACTGGCGAAATATTTCCTTTTCACAGTAAATGGTAATTTAGTTTTCAAAGATACAAAGATACGCTACTTAATCGCAGCTAAAACTCGTAGATATATTAAAGCTAAGCCTGTAAAGCTAACTGAAGCTTGCGTCTGTTATCAGCATCCAGAACAGATACGAATTTCAGAGTTAGTCAGTAGTAGAAAATGTCTGACCGATCAACCTTCATCTCAATTCAATAATATGGTGATTTCAAAAGGTAGTTTGTGAAATTCAGATGGAGATCTTGAACTGTAAATGTAGACTTCAATCACGAGTACGTATCTGATAGTTAAACGAGTCAATACAATCCCAGTATATGTCCTTACATACACTACAATGACAAAAATTGAACTTTTAATAACAAACAGTTTAGTACATTCTCTTTAAAACAACCTCCATGGAGTCACTATAGCTAAAATGCTGCTTGCCCCTGCTAGAATCTAAATCTGCAAGTTCTGGCTAATGCCATAAGTGGATAGGATATGAGTTCATAAATCTAAATTCAGATAACGATTTAGTGTATTTTCCTGTTATCCAGTTAGGAATAAAATCCATGGTGAAGAATGTTTGTGGCTTAGAAGGATGGATTTTAATGTTTTACTAAATTATCTTCCTTCATATTTAACACAAACCAATGAAGTAAGTACACAAATAAAATGGCAGCACTACGGCTGTGATATTTTAGGGACAACATATAAGGTCTATTTTAGAAAACATCCATAAGAATTACTGAAAAGAGATCTTTAACAGCTTTTGGTTCAACCACGAAAGCCATGGAACAAAGTGCATCAGTCAAATTTGGTAATAGCTTTGTATCGCAAAACACGCTAGCATTACTGTTTATATTATTTTCCCCTTGGGTTCTTAGTGGAACATGGGACTTCAATAGCACGCCTCCGTTCCACTCCCTTCTCACTCACCTCACTCCACGTCTCCTCACAAGCTTTCATTTCCTCCTCACATGATCTCCCCCATGTCACCCTCACCACGGACGCCCAACTCGTCGTTTCCCCTTTGGATTCCACTCAAGGACCTGGCGCGTGATGTCCCCAATCGGCCTTCTCAGTGTACTCCCAATCCATCTCCACTTTCTTCTGCATACTTGTTGTGCGGTAGGTTCTTGGTTGGTTTGTTGTGCGATGAGACTTCCTTCCTGCTTATTCTTCCTGGCCATCCATCTAATCTCCAGTATCAAGTGAGCGTAGGTGGCAGCTGTTGATGGATGTCTGTTGCTTGTTGGAAATGCTTTTCGCAACACGCAAAGTCTATCAACCATCACAGAAACACTGACTTACTTGACTGAATTAGTGTTGAAAATCCGGATCTTGTTCTTTATGCTGAGTGGAGTGCAGTCGATCTCCACACTGGTTTCAGGTTAATGAAGGCCTATCTTGCTGTATTTCCGATCCTGGCTTTGACGTCCTCATCTGTGCCGCCTGTATTTGAGACGATGCTGCCTGGGTAAGCAGGTAGGTGAAAGAGGCAACTTCCTTTAGGTTTCTCCCATTGTAGTGACGCGCTTGTTGTTGTTGGTTGGTTGGGTATCTTCATCACCTCTGTTTTCTACGCATCCACCTGAAGTCCCATCTTCGCTGCCCTGCCTCTTCTGCCAACTAGTTGGTTTTTGCTTGTAGATAGTTGAGTTGGTGCGATAAGACATTAGACATAAATCATCATCGGCGAAATCCGAATCTCCTTCTCGGATCTTTTCATCGGTTCAGCCAGCCTATGCCCATCTTCTCAATCCTCACAGTTTGTTGCATGACCCAGTCAACCACTATCAGGAAAATCATCGGGGATAGTAGGCGACAACCTTGTCTTACTCCTGTCCCTTGTCTTCACTTCAAAGGCGTCACTGAGCTTTCCATTGTGAATCACTCGGCATGTGGCGTCTTCATATAGCATATAGCTGTTGAATGAGGTTGATAAAGGTTTGTGGCACTAAAACCGTAGTGTTGAAGCAGTTTCCAAATCACTTCCCGCTTTACGCTGTCGAAGGTCATTTCAAAATTGATGAAGTTTAGGTAAGGTGAAGAGGTGACTGCCATTCTATGCTCTGTTCTATGATGATGCGTAGCGTAGCACTGCAATTTGATGCGCACATGATTTGTTCTTCCTGAAGCCAGCCAGCCGGCCGGCCGGCCTGTTCCGGTCGTAATTTTGAATCCAGTGCATCTTTTAGTCTCCTAGGATGATGCCGCATAATATTCTCCTTGGAGTGGACAGGAATGGAGCATGATTCCACACCAGTTCTTGCAAACACTTAGGTCTCCCTCCTATGGAAGTTTGACAAGGTAGCCATTCTTCCAATCAACTGGCAGGTACCTTTCCTGCTTTACTTCCAAACCTTCTGCAATAGTGGTGTCAGCGTGTCCGCCGTTGGCTCTGCGTCTGTTTTCAGTGCTTCTAGTGGAATTCCATCTGGTCCTGCTGCTTGCTCAGCTTTCAGCAACTCTATGGTGTTCAGGACTACACTTCTGCTTTTGTTGGAGGGCTTGTGTTCACTGGTAGTTCTGTGGCTGGGCTACTGGTGGTATTTCTGGACGAGTTGCAGTTGGTGTTGGTCGATTCAACAGCTTTTTGAAGTGGTCAGCCCATCGTTTCCTTTGTTTCTCCACTTTGCTAACTAGGTTTCCTTTACTGTCTCTCATTGGTTTCATCTGAGTTGACCTCTTCCCAGATAGAAACCTGGTTATTTGATGTAGTGTTATCGGGTATCTATCTCTTCTACCTGCAGCCTGGTCTGCTTCACCTGCAAGTGTGTCGTAGAAGTGTCTTTTGCCTTTCCGCGCACTCTTCACTTCTTTGTCCAGTGTTGTGTTTTATACGTTGTACTCAGTTCTTCTTTTCGTTGTGCATCCTTGCACTGCACTGGTTCATCTTCTGCTTCACCATCTTCCTCTCCCTCCTCTATTAGCTTCCATGTATCCGTGGAGATCCATTCCTTGCCTTATCCTGTTTCCTCTTCCTTCCTAACACGCTTGTGCAGGTCTCCTTCCACTTCGCTTTCACAGAGTTCCAGTGTTCTTCCACACAGGTTTCCTCGGGGATGTTGCCTAATGTCTCCCATTTTTTCCTGATCACTGACATGAAGATGTCCCTTGTAGTTTCTGTTCTGCGTGCTGAGCTTGGACTGTGGTCTATCATCACCAGCTTCTTTCTAGGCTTTCAACTTGATTTTCAAAGTAGGTTCCTTGGACTAGATAGTGAGTGGTGTGAACCACCTACATCTGCTCCCCTTCTTGGTCTTGTGTACAGTAGGCTGCGTTTCCACTTTCTTCACATCAAGATGAAGTCGATCTGATTTTTAGTGTGTCCGTCTGGTGAAATCTAATCCATATCACTTTTCTGTTCTATTCTTTGATTCAGAAGTCTCTACATTGAAAACGCTTATTAGGCATTCAAAAAGATGGTTTAAGCGAAAACAGTATCCGATAAAATCTTTCATGTTTAAATCAAGCACCTCAGAGTCGTTCCGTAAAAATCAATAAGTTCTAGCAGGTGGGGTACTCTGACAATTACAATATGGTAGATATATAGTTGCCAAGATAGTAAGGAAGATCTTTATGACAATCAAATCAAGTAAACCGAAAACAGCAACAAGAACAACAAATTAAGTAGGACGAAAACACAACGAAATGCCTTGAATGTATGGTTGAAGACAACCAGTAGTAAGCCTTAAGGGCGTTGGTCGCCTCCATGTCATTACTTTTCAATAGGGTTCAGATGTAATATCAAGAAAACTTATTCTCCTCAGGAACTTGAAGTCACTTGGCGTAAACGTGAACAGCACAACAACAAGCGAAGCAGGATAATACTAACTTATCCTTAACATTTCGAGGATTCTTCTCAAGTGATTACAACCTAAATATCAAAATGTATGCATGATTTTATCAAGTTTGACATGAAGTCGCTGACAGAATCACCCGGCAACGTAGGTCATGAGGAATATAACTAACTGGCTAAAGTATGAATCTTTGGGAGTATGAGAAATTGACTATTCACAGAATTATTAGGTGAATATTCTTAGAAGAGAAGGTTGAGAGGTAAATGGAAATACCAGTCAACTAGGAATAGAAAATAATTATCACAGCGAGGAATAAGTTCCTTTTTATTTTTTATAATTTCTTTTTGCTTTGAAGTTTCTTTAGCGATTGGATTGGCTTTATGGGGTAGGGTTGCTTTCTCTATACCCAACCTCCCCTGTTTATTCGGGCTTAGGATCGGCTAGTAACTAGTGAACTAGTTTCCTAGGCGAGGTTCCGAATTGAAGATGATGCAGGAGTATTGACCTAGAGATGAGCAAAAAGATTAGAAGCTCAGGATCTGAATAGTTGATAATGATGTGCATGAATTTGAATGCTGATCATCATCATCATCATCAACGAGCTATGCTGGTGGAACGCTTGTTCCCTCGAGGTCCTACCATACCAGAAAGGTCTGTTGGGTAGTGGTTAGACGAAAAGCAGTTACCGTTATAGTGTAAATTGCTACACTATGATGGGGGTCTGAGGGCGAAGTCGTACTGCTGCTAGCTGGATGGGGTGTGACAGCAGTAAGGTGTTTCCCTTGGATGACCAGCAGTGCCATGCTGATGCTGCCTTCTCAGTGGAAGGGGGGTTAGAAAAGGTCGGCCCCAAAAATAACACACTCCACCACGCCCCACGGTCTGCCGGGCCGGCGGTGTTGGTTCACTTGTCGTTTCCTTTCGCTCATCCGGCCCCAAAAATACAAAAGTTCAAAATAATCATACTCAAAAGGCTGGGTGTGACAGGCCTCAAGCAGATGTCCGATGGGCTCTGCGGTCACACAAATCTCTTTCAGGTACCTTAAGAAGAAATAGCCTTCCACGGTGTGGGCAGCCGGGAAGTGTCAACCGCCCTCACAACTCTGTCAGCACCCAAGTTTCTTCTGACTGCTATCCTCCTCCTCCATCATTACCTTCTAATCTTCCTTCACGTCTCTTAATTAATGATGCTGCATCATCTTCAATTTCTCCTACCTCTGCAGCCTTCGACAACGATCTGAGTCCACAGAACAGCATCCCTGGTCTCCTTAAACCACGCTCCAAATTACATATTGGAGCCTTCAATGTCCGCACCCTCCGTCAAATTGGCCAACAGGCTTCGTTGGCAAAGACTCTAGCAACTCGGGCATGGATGTGTGCTGTGTTTGTGAGACACGCATACAGGACCCAAGTGTGGTTATTCACCTGACCTCTCCTGACCAATCTGGTGAATCTGCAAAATTCACCCTTCGAGTTTCTGGAGATTCGATAGCTAGCTCTCGTGGTCTTGCAGGTGTAGGTATAGCATTAAGCACCAGGGCAGAAAACTCACTACTAGACTGGATCCCAGTTGATAGTCGCCTCTGCGCTATGAGGCTGAACGGCACAGTGAGAACTAAAAGGAATAGTGAGACTCGCCGTTGTCTCTTTGTAATCTCTGCTTACGCACCCACTGACTGCAGTTCGGATGAAGTGAAGGACGAGTTCTACCATAAACTGTCTAACCTCCTCTCGAAAGCCAAACGTTCGGACGTAGTGGTTGTTGCAGGTGACCTCAACGCACAGGTGGGTAGACTGAGTGAGGCAGAAAGGCACTTAGGTGGCACTTTCGGAATCCCAGCTGAACGTACAGATAACGGTGATCGCCTATTACAACTATGCTCAGATAACCGCCTATTTTTAGCCAGCACAATGCTGAGGGAGTTGTGAGAGCGATTTCCACTTCCCGACTTGAAGTACGTAAAAAGGGCTTAGTTATGGTGGTGCGTGGTCACAGAAAGCAAATAACTTCTGCTAGAGGCAGGTCACAGACAGTTTGAATGTAAACTTGATATTAATTCTCTTTAAATCCGGAAATATGTCCAAACAAGCGATTCTGGAAGAAGGCAGAATACAAGAGAGTGGGCTTTTTTGAAACAAATCTTTTCTAACCGCTATGGCTTCCCATATGGAAGGCAAAATGAGCATGGCACTGCTGGTCATTCGCGAGAAACGGCTTACTACCGCCACACCCCTGTCCATTCAGTAGTATGAATCTCGCCCCTGGCCCTCATTATAGCGTAGTATGTTACACCACAGCGGTAACTGGTTTTTGTCTTACCACTATCCAATCAATCATGTCACCCCGCCCATTAGTATTTTAATGTCACCATCGCCAGCTGAGGTGTTGTTTTGTCCATTACTGATTGTAGTTGTCTGTAGAATTCCTCCTTCTCTTCATCTGATTTATTTGTAGGTGCGTAGTGTAGCATTGTATGATTGTGACTTTTCTTCCTTTTGAGGAGTTGAATCTCGCCGTCATGACCCTGCAGGAGGAGATTTTTTCCCACTGCATGAGTGCCTTCGATGGATGTTCTCGCTGACGTCAAGATAGCCACTCAAAAACTCAGTGTGCTCGTGGTTGTCGTCTGGGTGACAATGTCTGAGTAGATTATTGACTCTCCAGTTAGCAGTTTGGAGAGTCCACCCACATTCCATCTGCTTTCGCAGATTCCTACCACTTCTATTCTGTGCCGTATCTTCTCATCTCTTTTGCAGTCTGGGCAACCTTGTCAGTCAGCTTCAAACATTGTATGGACATTCCATGTCCCCATCCTTACTTTTGCTTTCATCGAGAGAAGAGAAGACACATCGGCCAATTGGCTTCCCGAAGGCTTTCGCCAGCTGGCGTCATTTCGCCTCTCCGATTCCAGCGAGGAATAATTTTGTTTTTATTTTTTATAATTCTTTTGTGCTTTGAAGTTTGTTTAGCGATTGAATTGGTTTTATGGGATAGGGTTGCTTTCTCTATGCCCAACCTTCCCTCTATATTCGGGCTTAGGGTCGGCTGGTAACTAGTTAACTAGGGGCGGTTGGCTTCTGAAAAATACCTACTCATTTTCTGGTTGAAATGCTATGCAAACATTGTTTTGTTTTAGAGAACATGACCTTCGGTTGGCACAACACATTACTCATGTACATATGCATGGTTGTGCTCCATCAGGAAGAACAGATTTACAAGGTGTTCCTGGTTCAAGTACGGATCATGAACTACTGTCGCTAGTAAAGTTACGCCGTCTAATTGCTGTAGCTAAGGCGCAACCCCCTCCAGCTGTTCCTGCTCATTTAGCAGATTATCTGGTTGGTGCGTATGTAGAGATGCGGAAAGAAGCACGTGCAAACAAGGAAATGACATACACCAGTGCAAGGTGAGCATACGTGAAAAGTGTCATTGATTTATAGTGTTCTGTATACAGCTGTCTTTTTTACTTAGTTTTCTTATTTGTTATTGCCAAATCTACTACGAATGAGCAGCAAGCCTTACAGAAAGTGTTTAATGTTTGTCTGCAGTCATTGTGAAGTAGGAATTACGTATAAGAGCACTGGTACCTATCATTTATCGATCACTAAATAGTCATGCTAATATCTGTGATCAATCTTGGCATACTGATGTATCTTAATTCTGAAAAAACAAAAACTGACAACATAAGTTACGTTTCAAGCTTAATATCAAAGCACTCCGGTTTTCATTATTACAGTAGGCTTTAAACTTCCTAGTTCAAGTACTTATTACTTGTGAGCTGATGAAAATGTTCAGAAAAATTAGAAAAATGAATCTTACATTCAGAGGTTACCCTAAATTTTCAACATACTGATTGTGACTGTTGACCAGCACTCTTTTAAGTTCCTTCACGGCCACATTGTAAACTGACTCGCATGCTCTTTTAGTTACTGACTTTAATATTTAAGAAGAAAAAAAGCTTAATGACTTCAGGTTTTTATTCATTGCTAATTAAAACTGATTTAGGTCATCGAAACACCGTTGATTAAACATCTGAGGTGGCTAGAGAATAGATTAGCTCAATAATAAAACTTGTGAAGTAAACTGTTAGCTATTGCGTTCTCGTTCGTGCAATAGAGAATGAGCAACACCTATTATCTGAGGGTTATTGGTACTACCTAGCTGCCTAAACTTTGAGAGTTGTAGCGGGGTTAAAACTTGTGCCGTATTGATTAGTAGTGAAATGTTCAAACCGACGTACCAGGATTGCACACGTTTAAAAACCCAGTGATACTGTTATTTTCATGGATGTATTTAATGATACTGTATTTATCATGTTAAAGTATCATTTAGTATAGAATACGTAGCTGGTTTGGTTGAGTTTCTGTTTTCGCTGATTGCTAACTGATGGCACTTTGGTCTTACTATCTAACTATTCACTGCGTAAGGTAATTTAACAATGTTTGCTACTTGTTTCTCAGCTTTTGGCATTTTGGCTTTTTGTATCGCAGTACGATACCTTGCACAACTCAAACAACCTGTCTTCTGATTCGTTTTTGGCAGGACTCTGTTGGCTATAATGAGACTGTCTACTGCTCTCGCTCGACTTCGTGCATCACCAGAAGTCTGCAAAGGTGATATTGATGAAGCTATGCGTCTAATGGAAGCCAGTCGTTCATCGATTCTTTCTTCACCATATGAAGATGCTAACCATTCTAGCCGGTGGGTGTTATTAACATTTCAGTCTTTGAGTAAATCACTTGATGTCTCGAAATTTTCTGTTTCATCCCAAACCTTTCCCGAATAATAATTAAGCTGATTCTGAAACCACTGAAACTGTGACATCAGTCTGTCATAAAATTTCTCAAACAATATTCACTTGCCTGGTTCAGTTACACCAACTCATCTCCAGTTTCTATTTTTCCACGGACCTACTATTGTCAGCGTTTTCTTACTTCTACATTCGTAATATGACAGATTTAGATATAACATCAGTTCGCGAAGTAGTTTTTAGTACAAGTTGCCTGCATAATTGTATATCTCTAAAGTTGCATCCTTTAAGCACTATCAGAAATCGTTAACTGGACTAGTTAAGTTCACTTATTTGTTTTACTCTTACTCTTAATTTCCCATTATTGCATAGTTATTTCTTCAGCATATACGCTCCTCATATTTCTGTTTGTTTCTAAGCCCAACCGGTAGCTCCTACCTTGACCTTAACCCAACAAGCTGTGCTGTTAAAACGCTTGTTCTTCGAGGTCCTTCCATACCATAAAAGTCGGTTTGATAATGGTAAGATGGAAAGTAATTTTTTTTACAGAAAGCAAACCGTTCAGACGCCACGATGGTAGGTGACTTCAACGCTGGATTGGGAAAGCTGAGTTGAGCTGAATTAATTGGATAAGCATCTCCGGAGTATTTATGAGATCCCATGCCAACGAAGTGACAACGGTGATCGTCTGTTGCAACTTTTTTTCGACAATCACTTGTTTCTGGCCAGCACTAACTTTAAGCATAAGGAGAGTCTCATATAGCGTCCGCTGACTTCAAGCCAACGATGGACAACAGATAGACAGATCATATTGCTACAAGGCATCATTAGGGGGGATCGGTGGAGGATTGCCACTCTTTCTGGAGTACCAGTTTGGACTGCGATCTCGCGCTGGTACGGGGTCGTATATGTTTGCACCTTATTGGTCGCAGGGAACAGGAGGTAGTAAAAGATACTGATACTGAACAACCTCATTAGTTAGAAACCACTCAGGCTGGTCTGGAGTATTTCACCAGCCAAATCATAGTTATCTCAACACCGGACGGCCGTTTCGCTTGATTGAGGTCGAGCTCATAAGCGGTGTACCCGGGCGAATCCAGTTCATAGAGCCGAATTACTTCAGATCAACTAAATCTGCTTAGCTGACTTGTATGAGTCGGTATACCTAGAACAGAATGAACAACTTGCAAATCATTCGAAAATTGGACGGTTGACGTTGATGTTTCTCACGACTGAGTAATTTTCCAACTGCGATATCAACGAGGTTTCATTTGGAAACCACTATCGAGATCACAAGGTGTGATCTCTAACACAGAGGTGTCACGAAATGGCGAAAGATACTACTAGTGCTACTACTACCTCTAGTGAACATATTGATTGGTTGAAAATTACTCAGATTGCTCTGTAGTATAGTATTTCGCCAGCAATATCACTGATCTAGACACAGGGCGTACTAATGTACATAGCTCTAGGAACGTTTGACTTAACAGGGATTAGGCTACTCCTTGGGGGTCATCTGGTTGATGCGGAGTATGAAGACGAGATTTCCCTGCTAGGTGAAGACTAACAAAATGCAGGGTCTTTTGAACACGTTGAGCAGCAATCTGAGTATGTTGGACATGCGTTTCACTGACACTTTTGAAATGTGAGATGATGCTCAAGGACTGAACTGCTGCAACTACTCCTAGTTTAGTGATAGGGAGTGAAGTGGCGTGGAGTGTGTGGACCATTTCGCTTATTTGTTGGGGAGTTGCATCAACACGAATGGCTGGTTGTTGACGAAATCTCAGCTCGGATACTGAAGGCTTGTTTAGCAGTCGCCAACTTGTATCACCAAAAGCGGTGAGTGGATATTCGACTATCTATCAAAGGACGGTATACTGTTCTGCGGTTCGTTCAATCCTGTTATACGGCTATGAGACATAGCGGTTAAAAGTAGAAGATATGGAGTTGTTGTAGGATTTTGATCAAATATGTCTTCATAGCAATGCTTGCGTTTGATGGAACCATTATGTGAGCAATATTAAGGTCAAACGAGGGTACTAAGCAAGATACGCAAGTCGATTGAAGAGGTTGTCAACTTTAATTGGCTGAGTTAGCCTAAACATGTACTCCGCATTCCAACGTACCGCCTACCTCAACTTGTGATACTAATGTATGTTGGAATAATTGGTTGAGGTATAAAGGTTCGAGATCAAGACCTTGCACCCGTTGATGATGTCTCTGATTGTTATTCTGAGATGTATGGCAAGATGTAGACTACCTGGTCGGCGTCCGCAAAACGAATAGAGTCGGTGGTTGAGGTCCTCTTCGTGACGTGGCTGGAAATCGGTCACAGTGGTGCAGATCTTTGCACTCCTTGACATCTAAAGTTTTGATATGCACATTAAACCTTTTCAGATTGTTTTTTTTGAGGGGGTTGTGGAGATCTGGGAATATTTCAAGTTGTTATTCATCGAAGACTGACATCAGTTGGAGGAACAAAGGAAACCTGGGAGCACTGGACAGCTGTTTCGTCCTAGTATGGGACTCCTCAGCAGTGCGCACCCACGACCCCACCAGCAGGGATCGAACCCGCGACCTTCAGGTTCCGCGGCCAGCGCGTTATCATTGAGCCACTGGGTCACAATCCAATGCTCCATATTTCCAACTTCTGTTAGCTCACGATATAGCGCAACCACCACCCACTCATACTAGGACGAAACAGCTGTCCAGTGCTCCCAGGTTTCCTTTGTTCCTCCAACTGATGTCAGTCTTCGATGAATAACAACTTGTTTTTTTTTTAACACAACCTCGTTTAGTTTGATATCACTTTCCATCAACCTGTTCTTTGTTTATTACTATGAAGCTTGGCAATGTAAGTTGGTGCACCTGTTTGGGAGTGAGTTTCAACGTTGATTTTTTTCAGTCAGTCACTGTATTGTAGCCTAAACAATGTTAGTTTCAAACTTATCAGCTTTCTGGAAGTGTCCAAGACTGTTTGGTTTGCTTTTTTCCCCTCCGTGAACAATTGGTTTGTGGAATTACTGGTTGTCATGATCTCAAAGGAAACGTATACATGAAAATGCTTATTCCTGTTTATTTTCGTTCTTTTTGGTGTTATCTAAATGATTGTAATACTCAGTTTTTTTTGTTTGCTGTTTGGATTTGCTTATTTTATGTTTTTCATTTTGCGACCTCTCAATTATAGTTCATCTTCACTTGATTTCCTGTTATTTTTTTCGCAGTCCTCAGTCATATAAAGATGTGATTTATCATATTGTTCGTGAATTAACTGCAGCAGGTGGTGGCACTGCGCGTATTGCAGATATTGTCGAACGTTGCGCAACTAAAGGATATACTCCAGCCCAGGTAAAAAAAAATTTATAGAATAGCAGTGGTGACAGATTTTTTGACCACTAAACAAAGATCACACCATATTTATACAACCATTTTCACCCTAAGCTTTAATTGATATATTATAGATATCACATACATGTTTGATTATACACATCGAAGTTAAAGAGTATAAAACCAGCTTTATGTAGTATTTTTTGACAAACGTCGTACGTGCTTCGTGTATTATTTATGTATTAGAACACAAACATGGTACAGCAAGAGCACCAAGAAATATGTCACACACTATTTCGAAGACATAAAGCGAAGGAAGTGGGTAAAAGGAACACATTTAGAATAATGACTAGAAAGGTAGTCCAGTAAAATACTTTCGAAACAATATATTATTTTTCAACAGCAGAAGATAGAAGACAGCATCACTGCCACTGGATAACATGGTCTCTCAGACCCCCCCCCTCCCACCAACCGATGCTAATCCTGATACATTTATCCTTCATCCTACTGACCACTCTTTCTCTTTTTCTATCCGTGGCAAGCAAATCATAGACAGTATGAAAGCTGTTGGGATGAAATGCGTGACATATCCAAGCTACCGAAGCTGGTGTTTCAAGACCGCTCCACATATTGAATGAACATCTGCATCATGCCCAAACACACTGTCTTACCTCAGAACTACGGTGTCGCCTCCGGGTACGAGAAGTCCTACTGTGACAACAATGATTGGACACAGAGTCATCTCACATCCTCAACTTGGAGAGGCCAGGCTTCACAGGCGTAGAGTAGTACTGCTCACTTGACTTATGTGCTTGACCTCGCAGTCACTACTTGGAATTTGGTAGATTATTTCGCTCAGTTGGATCTATTGGGTCCTTAAGCTGACAAACTTATCTCGGAGTTATTTTGTGGGTTTAGATACCACTCAACTCCATTCTTGTTGAAAATTCTACGTAAAGTTTCTGGTGTTCCTTCCTTATATAGTAACTCACTAAGAAGCTTTGAACTCCTTTCTACCCATGTCATCGTGATCATTCGTATTCGTACTACTGTTATCATTTTGTTTTTTGTTTTCGTACGAATGGTAGAGGATACTTATGAATTAGTAACATTTCTTTTAGATGTTTCAATTCCTTGCTTAAGTCCTTTCACTGACTAGTGGATTTTCTAGATCTATTATTTGGAAATCTGAACAAACGTGCCTTAACAACCATTAAATGATGTGACCTGTTAGAATGTTTTGGTTTTCTGTAGATGGTAGTATCTAGACTGTCATTGGTTCTTCGTTTTACTCTGCAACCCAACATAGCTAATTCTCCTTTTTCATGATATCTCCCACCGATAGCTTAGTTCTTTTAGTTCAGGGTTAATATTTAGTTGATTTCTAAGTGCCTCCAGTGAGATATTGATTAGTATTTTGGTATGAAGACTTTTTGCATAAAAATAACCATTTTTCTATCCTCTTCTGTACTTAGGTCACTAGGTCTTACTCTTAACTCGTCTAGAACTTGAACGGTTCCTAATAGGATATAATATTGGTGCTAAGTACTTCGATAGTTCATATGTTGGGTTATTTTTGAAGTCAGCTGTCGGTCTAATGGGATTGAAAACTGATCTGTGGACCTTAATAGTATTATGAATTATGTTGAGATTATCAGTTTTAGGATTTAGATTAAACCATTCAAACTTACCTGACAATGGCTTCATTAAGTGTATCAAATCGATTTAGTATTTTATTCATGACAGTATTTATATGTTTCTTGATCACGTCGTATGGTCCTGTTGGGATATGTTCATCAATTTTCGTAAATTAATTCAGTTTGTTCATAGCTTCTATTAAACTACATTTACCGCATAACACAGTATTTGCCAATTGAACACCGAAACTTTCTTAATCAAATCAACACCCAGTAAATGTAATAGGAAAGATGCAACATCTATTTCAGACGTTCATAAGCGAAATTTATTTTGGACTTCTCTTTGTACCACAGAATTGTAGTAACCTAAAGCAACTTACTCTTTGTACGAGCTTCCAGGTGCATGAAGAATGACATATTGCACACAAACAACGATTTTATTCCCAACCATCAACACCTAGGTGTTGCTCTAAAAAACCGGGTGTGAGAGTAATACTACTCTGATTTTGACCAACATTTCGAATGCACGCAAGTGATATTACCTGCATATATCTGTGAATAAGTTGTAGCTAGTTCTTTAGAGGCAGCGCCAGAAGATTTAAGTGCTTTTAGTGTACGAAATGTTCATAGGAACACAACTTGAGGTAAACACGTTTTTAAGGCATTGATCAACATTTATTGCCTTCAAGTTTGTTGTAGTACTTTTGCATTAAGAACTTTTCTCAAGCCTTTACGTCTGACTAGGGAGGCTGTAATTCGTTGAAGGCTCTGACGTTTTTATGAAGCGTATCTTAGTATAATAATGATACATCAGAGGTACATGGCTATTTGCAAACATCAGTGAGGTAATAATTTGAGTGAAGTAATTAAAAATCTCCACTAAGTAGACTAAACCACTTGTAAAAGAATGTCTTAAAGTTGTGTGTTCATCTACTACTTGGTTTAATGTGTAGTTGTAATGAATGCAGTCTGGTAGTAACTAACCCCCACAAACACTTTATCTATGATAATAGTTAGTTAGTTTGATGCACGTACCACTTTTTTTTCTTGGAAATGGAAGCTAAAATACTTTAGGTCTTTATTTTCCGCCCAGTCTCGGAAGATAGAATGGAGGCTTTACATCCATTAGTAAGAACTTATTGTCCACTTAGTTGACTTTCTGATTTGTGGTTCGAGCTCCTTACAGTTATATCTGTGTTTCAGTTACCTTATTTCCTTAGCTGTAATTATTGAGTATTAACGCGCAGTTATTTGATCAGTAGTTCTGTCTTGATGCTTGTTATGATTTGCCTTTGACAGTAGTCACTGTTGGGTCCTCGGCTGAATAAAAGTTTGAATTTGTGAACTAAGTACTGGCCAACCACTTGAGTGTATAGGTAAGTAAATGCTAATAAATTTGTTCCAAACAAGTTTATAGACATGACATGATACCCACCTGATAACTGTTTTTAGTGAGCAATCAGTTACGTACAAAGTCTCACTTTCAGCAGTCGTGCATCTTTTCGATATCCTCTGTGTACATAGTATAACAGATCGCATGGTGTTATGTTCTAAGCATGCTTTTTAGACATAAACCAAGTATATTCTCGTTTCCTTCAGCTTAACGAAGTTATTGAAGCTTACGAGAATCTGAATGTATGGCAAGTCAATATTGGAAGAACACGGATTTTTACAGTGGCCTGAAAAACACTACAGATATTTAAATGGATAACTGTTTTATGTTAATTTTATGATGTCGTTTTGTGTGTATAATTTTTAGTTGAAAGTTTACAAAATACAAATATTCTCTAGTACTTGCATTTTTTTGATGTTCGAAACCTTTCGTGCAACAATTGTATTTGCACAAAATAAATATTGCTTTGTGATCTCGTAATGTCTTCAGACTCATCAGTGAAATGTAGCTGCACACAATACTTAGGACTGACTGGGTGAGGTGTTAACTTACTTGACTTGAAGTGTTTAAGTAGCTTTGACTGGAAGAATCTAGGCACAGTTTTAAGTCGCCTCATTCGTGAATAAATATTCAAACAAAGAAATTGACAAGTGGGAAAAGTTTAAGCATTAGGCAAACGATATTATTTTGGTATTTTTATTTCCCAATGAACGTAAAACAAAATAAAAATTGTTTCAAATAACGATTCGCTATTTGTTGATAACAACATTATCGAAGTTATAGTAAAACGAAAAGTAGAAGATTCGAGCTCTTATATCATAACACATAAAATTCTGCATCAACGATTCTGGGTTGTCAGAAATGTAGAATAAAGATCATATCCATATTTAGTGTATTGTGCGTTCCTGAGTTTCATCAAAGAGCCTGAATAATTGCAGAGCATTAACTAATCCTGAGGCCTTCTACATCCGATTTACGTACACTAGCCACTACTGTTTGCAGCCAAAGTTTAGTCAAATTACGTCTCAGTCCCTTTTGCTCGTCACCGCGACCATACCAAGTTGGGATGCCTTCTCTCATCAGTCGGTTCGCATAAGATTGTTGACTTCTACTAGCCTTTGGATGTGGGTTACCAACTGTCTTTACGGATGTTTCTACAGAAAACTAGGCATCATCAAGAGGAGGATTACTGTAACGTCGAGATAATTGCTTCACCATCTTCTACCTAAGTGTACACACGACGTCCTCATCTTCCAGTCGAGCACACAAATTTCACCACTGTCTATTTCCGATTACCAGTAAGGTTCAAACATATGAGTGCCTTTACAAACGCATGACCAGACTCTAAATGGGTAGTACAGAAACGATGGCTATCCTCCAACGATTGTTTATTGAAGCATGCATCTATCAGTGTCCTTGTTGGATGCCAAGTTAAATAGTGTCTGTCCTTATATTGATCAGAATAAAATTTTAACAGATGACCATAGCTGTCCGTTCATTGCCATGGAATACCGTAGATACCTCTCTACTTGAGTGTTAATGTCTCCCTCTAGTATGACTGCGTGTGAACGACGAACATTGTAGCAAAATTGTCAGCTAATGGCACTGATCTTCAATTGGTGTCGCTGTCTCTGGACGTGAAGAAGATTCCAAGGCCTGCAGAGTTCGAGGATTGAGAAATCAAGGTCTTTCTAACGCACTTCGAGTCGGTCGCGGAGCTGATGACGGTTTGAGATCCAGAGGCGAAGGTCGTGGTGCTGGGCAGGTTGCCGAGAAGTAGACCAAAAGCAGCATATGACAGCGTGGTGATGGGAAGAAGACTTGGCGGAGGATGGTTAAACGCTTGGAGGCGGAGTTCGACAGTCTAGCGGGCAGGGAGCTGGCGATGCAACAGTTCCGCAGCACGAAGCTGGGAATAGACAAAGACCCGTGAAGTTGACCAAACTACTTCGACGAGCACTTCCCACGTTGGATGAGAACGCCCAACAACAGTTGCTGACTGCACAATTCACTGAAAGTGTCGCGAATGCCATTGCCCACCAGTTACGACTAGTCAGTGCAGCCCAACCCATGGACATTAGTGAAATGGCCAAGGTGACCAGACAGCTAATGGGTACAGGAGTAGCGACAGTGGAGGCAAATAACTGGCAAGAACAAATCGACAACCTTCAGGAAGAGGTAGCTGCACTGCGAATGAACATCAACAAACAGGATAAGTGCTTCGCATTTGGGGAACCTAGACACTGTCGAGAAATTGTCCGGAGAGGAAAAAGAAAACGTTTTGAACGATGTGATATGAGTTATGTTTTTCCGACTAGACTAGATATTGTAAGAGCCATAGATCCAGGTGCTGTGTATGCCAGAATGAGTATAGATGTTTAGGAAATCATGTATCTACTAGATGCGGGGGTGGCAGTCTCGCTAATAGATAAGAGTCAGTCCTAGAATATAAGACCATGTGCGCTAACGGTCCACACGGTTGGGGGACATGCATTAGAAATCGCAGGCTTATCACATTGCGTCGTCGAAATCGGAAAACTAGATTTCCATTCATTGTGACCACGCGCCTACAACGGCCAATTCTAGGTGCTGATTTATTGAGAGAAGTGGGCGCAGTTTTTAACACTAGAACAGGAATAGTGGCGACGAAGTACGGGTCGTTTACCAAGCAGGAAAACAGCGAGGTAGCAGAGATTAAGGTGTCATGGGTACCACACGCAGAAGCACCAAACATCGTGAAGCTAGTTAGGAAATACGATAGATTGTTCGCTGGAGACGGAGACCCCTACGGATACTGTTGCAAGGTTCAGCATGACATTCCAGTGACCAGTAATGCATTTATCACATGGCGAATACCATGTCATCTGGAAGAAGTTGGTCGCCAGGCTCAGGAAATACTAAAAGAAAGTACTATTGAAGAGGCTGGTAGCCCATACGGTTCTCCAGCGCTTTTAGTAAGAAAGTCAAATGGGAAATATAGATTCTGCGTTGATTTCCGGTAGTTAAATAGCATAACGCAACTGAAGCCATGTCTACGTTAGCTGAGGTACTGGATCGTTTGCAGAATGCAAAAGTATTTACAGTTGTGGACTTCCGCTCAAGCTAATGGCAGCTACCAATAAAAGACAGCGATAAAGAGAAAACAACATTTACTGTGGACAAGAAGTAATACCAATTCAAGCGAATACCATTTGGTCTTGCAGGTGAGGCCTTTACATTTAGACGGTTGGTGATATTGTTGCTGAAAAATTTAGAGAACGTCGAGGTGTACGGTGATGACCTGGTGGTGTACAGTCGGACGGAAGCAGAGCATCTAGAACATCTGGTAGCTGTTTTAAAACTCATTACTTCATTTGAAGGAAATCTGATGATGAAGTTAAGTGCATAGGCTGAGTGTTTTAGTTGGTCTGATGTTTATAGATTACTGCCACCGATTTTTCGTCATTCGACTGTCAACTTTTTAACGAAGAATTAGATTCAATATTCAATGAATCAGTTAAGAGAGGTAACTGACGAAATGCACCCTTTTATTCATTAACAAGAACAAGGCATGTATCAGCAAAGAAATATTTCTTGTCAACGACTTCATTATCACGCTGTACAATCGTATTTATACTCGGTAAAGTAACAGATAATTGCACTAAAAAGTTGCTCAGTCAATATGCAAAATACCACCACCTACACCGATTGTATTTTTTACATATTGACTGAGCAACTTTTTAGTGCAATTATCTGTTACTTTACCGAGTATAAATACGACTGTACAGCTTGATAATGAAGTCGTTGACAAGAAATATTTCTTCGCCGATACATGCCTTGTAAAAAATACAATCGGTGTATGTGGTGGTATTCGTTCAGGAGATAGAAAATGGGTCACTGAAAAAGGAACAAATTGATAAGTGGTGAGATGAGAGACAAGTGTTGTCAAAGAATTGTAAAACGGTGATAATTAATCTGAAACGTGTAAAATAGGTCAGTGAATAAGGAATGAATTGATATTAAAAAGTGAAATATGGGTTAAATGTCAATGAAGTGAAAATTGATGATAATAAAAGAAGTATACCAAAGTGAACTGAAATTAACAAAATCAACAAAATGAATTGTTAAGGCCAAGGTAGAAAAATTGGTTTCACAAAACGTTTTTGAATGCAAAGTTCTCGTTTTTGTTTATGTATAGCTAATGCTTCAGCTATGCATAAGTGGTGGAAACGTAAACCTTTGGAGTAGTTCAATTTAATATAATTGTTTTTTATCATGCCGTCGTTGATTGGACTGAATTGATCGGTCTCTATTGGCATATGGGCTCCTGTGCCGATGCTTTGATATTGCCTGCCCCCGGGTCCCAATCCCGGTGGGAACATCACTCACTGGGAAGCAGGTACATCCAGCTGACGAGTCCCAAATAGGACGGAATGCGCATCCTGGATTCCACTGCTAGCCACTATCCGTCATTAACGTAGTTCGATTTAACTTTGTAAATTATTTTGAAGGATGAATCTCGAGGTGCTGAGTGATCTAATTCAACAAGGTGTTCTCATATGGATGGAGTTTTCCTTTGCTCGCCTGTGGTAAGCCAAACCGGGTAGTGTTCAGCAACACGTTTTCGGAGGGTCCGCTTACAACTTCCAATATAGTCAGCTCCACAGGAGCATGTTAACTTGTAGATAGACCTAGATGTGGGTATGAGTGGAAGCCTATCCTTCACACTGACGAATCAGACGGCGGCTGGAGAATATCAATCTCAGTCTAGCAGCATAGAAGCTACTATTGATACATCTTGACAGACGATTTTTCAGCACTTCAGCTGTGGTGTCTCCTTTGAATTCTAGATTCATGGTTAAAATTTTCTTAGGGACTGTAATGGGATGGGGAGTGGTTCGTTTCTTCAGATTCTTATCAATAAATCTTTTACGGTATCTGTTACTAAATAGTATTCTAGGAGTTTCGATTTCAGCATCCACCGTATCTTCTGAACATATTCCATAGATTTTGGAACACAGTGAGTGAATGAGATTTCTCTTACAACCAAGAGGTACCCAACCATTAGAGTTAGTGAACTGACCGGTCCAAGTTGGTTTTCGATAGAATGACCTTTGAATCGAGCCATCATCCCTTCTCTGTAACCTTACGTCTAGAAAGTGGAACGTTAAGTTTAACTCTTCCTCGACAGTGAATTTAATGGACTGGTGACAATCATTGAAACGTCTTGACAGCTCGTCCACTGAACATGTTTCGTCGCAAATAAGAAAAGTATCCTTAATGTACCTTTTATACAAATAAAGTTCCGAAATTATTACTTTAAGGGGCCCGCTTTCTAGCTTTGCCATAAAGATATCAGACAGGACAGGGCCTAGTGGAGACCCCATTGCGACTCCACCCGTCTGATTGTAAATTATATCA